GTGGGTGGTGGGGGGAACCGGCCGCTGGAAGCAGGGCTGGATGGGGGAGATCGGGAAGAGAAAAGGGGGGGAGCGGGACTGACCTGGGCACAGGCAGACCCTGGCAGATGAGTGAGTCTGGCCGGGGATTCCGTTTTGCCCCATCCCCCGCCACATGTCCTCCCTGGAGTAGTTGCGAACTGCCTGGCAAGTAGACACACTCAGACAGCGTGAGCACATCTACCAGCCAGGCAGCTAATTATAATAAAATTTACCTAATTAGAAAATACTGGACATTTTATATGTCTGGTAATTTCTCAATTTCTTTCCGAGACAAAACCTTCAAATACCGAACTGACTGGTACAAAACCAGACACCTGGCAACCCTACCCCTCCTTGCACCCTCCCTCTTAGCCAGATACCCTACCCCCAGTCTGCTCCTGCTCCTGCCTCCTGAAGTGCTCATGTGGCATCAGGTCCCCCAAACCCTGGCCCAGGCTGGGTGGAGGATGCAGCTGGGTGAAACACTGAAAATTTATTCATTTTTCATTTTTTTTATATGCGTTTATGTTTTTGGGCTGCAAAAGACAGTACTGAAAAAAAACGGGTTCCAACTAAAGTAAAAAGTTTGGGAAACCCTGATCTAGCCCACTTTCTATCCATCTTACAGTCCACTTTCCAATCCATATTCCCTTAACTTGCTGGCAAGAATATTGTGAGTGACTGTATCAAAAGCTTTGCTAACGCTGGCACTGGGGGTTTTGGGAGGACCAGAAACAACTTATTTGAATATTCATCATTTGTTTATTGAATATGCAAATATGCAAATGAATGTTACCGGCCCTCCAAAAGCTCGTGAATGGATTTACTGGTCCCTGTGTCAAAAAGTTTGGGAACCCCTGCTGTAGAATCCTTGGGAGAGGGATGGTCTTCCATTATATTGTATAAACAGCACCCAGCAAAATGGAATCTTGCTGCAGATTCTGAATTTTGGGTGTTACCATAATGAAAATGTATAATACTGACAAGCAACTACATTAAAAAGAGGTTATTTATGTTGTAAAATCAAGGTTTTGAGAAATCAGAAATACTGGGTATATGGTTACCTGTGCAAATTTCTTTTGCCTCCCCTTTGACATCTGTCCTGTGCACTGAATGAAGCAGGGGCCCTGTACATTGAGATATATTTTGAAAATCATGGGAACGTGTAATTAGTGACTTTGTCAGAACGTATAACACAGGGAGGAGGCTGCATGATATTTCTTTGTTTTTGAGCATTTTACTGTGTCAGTTAGATAATGTTCTTGGAACAGATTTTTTTCTGTAATTTATTAAGATTGTTTTAAAGGAAGAAAGTGAAAAAAAGAACCTTATGTACTGCTGTAATTACACCCTGGACTACATCATCAGCAAGTTTTCAGCTGTAGAGGCTGTGGAACAGACCACCACTTGAGCTGTTAGAATCACTAACAGTTAACAGGAATGGTTATCCCGGAGGGGGGGGATATGCCTCTGGGGCTACATGTAGTGTCCAAGGGATGGGAGTAGAGGCTGGCCCAGCCTGACTGTCTTCTTCACTCCCCTTGAAGTCAGCAGTTCCTGCCCCAGGAGAAGAAATTGAGCTGTTGTATAGACCCAATGCAGCCTGACTCCTCCCCACACCACTATCTGCCATGCTACTACTGTGTTTCTAACAGCTCACTGGTTTTCCCTGTGCAGTATCAGCTTCTGCTTCTT